GAGTCAGGCGCGTGCTCTGCCGCTTCACTCAGTGGGTGGCGAAACTTCACGAACCTCTGGCAAGTGACGCTGAACTCCAGCCGTGGCGCAGAAATCGCCCAGCATCTCCCATTCGTGGAGGCTGCCAGGACGCCCCTCGGTGGCACTGATGCTCGGCCCTGCCCCCAAGCTGATTGGGGGCACGCTTGCTTGGTGTTTTAACACTGCATGGCCCTCGGGGGGGCCAGATAGGCCATCCGATGTAGCTAGAGCTCCTCTGGCAAGTGACGCTGAACTCCAGCCGTGGCGCAGAAATCGCCCAGCATCTCCCATTCGTGGAGGCTGCCAGGACGCCCCTCGGTGGCACTGATGCTCGGCCCTGCCCCCAAGCTGATTGGGGGCACGCTTGCTTGGTGTTTTAACACTGCATGGCCCTCGGGGGGGCCAGATAGGCCATCCGATGTAGCTAGAGCTGTGTGTCTGTCGTCAGCCATCCACCTACACGGGTACTTCCCCCTCCGACGCTCCCTCCAGAGTCTGGACGCAATCCCCGTGGACGGCAGCTGTTAGCGACTGAGGCGACTTTAAAACCAGCCATTCTGGGATCAGGCTCTGTTGGGTAAGTATGAAGGGTTGCAAGAAAGAGGAGACTCTATGATGGGGAAGGAGGGAGGGCTACTTGTGAAGGGGAAAAAGGCCACAGAAATCTGAGCGTAGCTTTTGAAATTGAGTCGTGTGGGAGACTGGCAAAGTTAGAAACAAAACACCCAGCACTACAAGCAGCACACACAGTGTGAGTCTGCGGTTGCCTTTGGCACGGTACGTTTAATGAGGGTGTCCGGAAGTTCTGTTCGACATTCATGCTGTCACTTCGACAGATGTCTCCTACATGATTAGACCGTGTCTCCCGTCAGTACAGTGGCATACGATTGGCTGAGAGCCTGTCCCTTTCTGTGGCGTGGGCACCACATCTTAGGAAAGATGTGGAGAAATTGGAGAGGGTCCAGAGAAGAGCAACGAGAATGATCAAAGGTCTGGAAGACACGAGCTGTGAGGAACGACTGGAAGAACTGGGCTTGTTTAGTTTGGAAAGGAGCAGACTAAGCAGACATGAGAGCAGTTTTCAAGTATCTAAAAGGGTGTTACAGGAAGGAGAAGGCAAAATTGTTCCCCTTGGCCTCTGACAGGACAAGAAGCAAGGGGCTCAAACTGCAGCAAGGGAGGTTTAGTTTGGACATTTGGAAAAACTTCCCGCCTGGCAGGGTGGTGACACACTGGAATAAATTGCCCAGGGAGGTTGTGGAGTCTCCATCCTTGGAGATATTGAAGAGCAGGTGGACACACACCTGTCAGGGATGGTCTAGACAGTGCTGGGTCCTGCCATGAGGGCCGGGGACGGGACTTGATGACTCCCGAGGTTCCTTCCAGCACTAGTGTCCATGGTTCTGTGCTGCTAGAAAGGCAGGCGATGGTAATACTATTGCAGGAGCCCCGGTGTGATGCGCGCTGCACACGTACGTACACACAGCTCTTCCTGCCTCAGAGGGCTCCCAAAATAGTTCCACAGCGGGGGAAGGGTCACAGCCGCCCAGCCAAGTGACCAGCATGCAGGTGGCATTGGGTGCCAGAAGAGGCCCCCAGATCATGCAGCCTGACCTCCTGTAGGTCCGCCACCCGCACGCTACCCCTCCGCCCCGGGATCAGATCCAAGCGTCACGGCCTACGGGGCGGGGCTGTGCTGCTGGCAGAGGTTGGGAGGGACCGAGCTGCACCACGGGGCAGAGGAGCATTTCGGAGAGACGTGCCCAGGTCATTCGGGCCAGTGACTTGACTCTCCCACGGCAGGAAGTGGTTGAAATAAGCCAGGTCCCTGGCCAGTCATCTGGGAGGAAAAATTCCCCCGTATGGCGGCCCGGCAGCCACGGGTCCTCAGTGCACCTCTGAGCCCTGACACTCCCGCCCAGCGTCCATCGCGGGCTGGGCCCACCCTGGGCTCCTGGCCGGTTCCTCCCCGCTTGCGCGTCGTGCAGCTCGGCAGTGCTCCGTGCTCCTGGGCGCTCTCCCCGTGCCGCCAGGCTCCCTCGCCGCCTCCGCTCGGCTCGGCCATCTCCTCCCGTCACTCGCCCCAAGACACGGAGCCCTGGGACTGTTTGTTTTGGGGTGTCTCCGTCATGGGGGAGTCAGTGGGGGAGACAGCCTCCCCCCCAAGCCCCTCGACCCCACTCCTTCTCCCGAGGCCCCGGCCCCTAGGGAGCCAACCTTCCCCCCCACACACACACACTTTGCGGGTGGACCTGGTGAGTCTGTTGGCTCACCTGGTTGTAAATAGTGTCATCTTGTCAGATAATAAAAGCTAAGCAGGAGTAAGCACGGTGAGTAGTTGGATACAAATTATCTAATGGACAGCCCAAATCTGGCTAATCCAGTAGTTGTCACTCTGGGTCAGTATGGATGTAATTCACCTGCAAGCTATTAATGGACATTGAGCTAATGGAGGTACTGTCTTTCCAGTGACACGTACCACTGAGATTTTGAGCTTTGTGATCATAAAAACTTCTTATATTAACTGAAATATGCTCGTGCACATATCCTTTTAACTGCTGAGGCTAAAATTTAGAGGGGCAAAAGGAAGTGTGCAAAAAGTTTGGCATTCTTGGGTTTTTTTTAAATATAATCGTTTATTACTACAGACTCTGTTTTTTAGATTTTAAATAATTCACTATTATCATGAGATAACTGCAGATTCTCTGTGGCTGATACACATTTGGATTTAACCTGGAGGTGTGATGCAGAAACGTGGTATAATTGACTTAGTGCCTAGACCGTTGACTATATAAGCAAAAATACATTCCATTTCTTTTGTTTTTTTTAGTTGTTGATTTTTTAAAAAGTATTTCAGGAGTGCATGTTTTGAGACTCTGATAATTCTAGCCTAAAATCGTTGTCTTCAGGGACAGATCTGTAATGACAGTGTAGTGCATCAACATTTCTCTCAGTTCATTATCACTAAAAAGCTATTTTTCAGAACCATGCTTTATCTAACTGCACTCAATAAGATGTTAATTAATTTTGACTAAAATTCCCAGTTAATTAGTAGACAGGCCAGCTAGATCTGCTGTGTCAGTCAGCTATCTCGTCTCATCAGTGGAGCTAGCAGCACCCCGCTGTCTGAGGGGCTCCGCCCTAGCGGACAAGGGAGCAAACGGCGCTCGCACGCCCAGCACGGGGGCTGCTCTCAGACCGACGGGCGCCTTGTCCCTTCCCTCGCTCCCACTGATCTCTGCTCTCTCTCTCCTCCCGCCGCGCCGACGCCTTGCGACGAAGGGGGCGCAGCTGATTTTCAGTGCTGCCAAGGAGCTGGGGCACTTGTCGAAGCTGAAGGTATCCGTGCTGTGTGTGTGGCTTGCCTTGGCGGCCTTGCCCACCAGCCAGGAAGGGCTGCCATGCCTCGCGGGCCCTTCCGGTTCGT